CCCTCCCCACTGCTACAGAGGATGACCTTCAAGAGTTATCTTCTTTGGCTTCACATAAACAGGTATGAAACAAAACATGTATTAACTTTAATATTTCCCAATTTTGAACACTATTCAGGTTCGCACTCTTTCTCCTACGGGAAGTGTTGGCAACGTGGAAATACTTATTGGGGACTACTTTCAGCTTTCCAACAACGTGAGCTGAGAGTCTTCTATATTCCATCGATGGATGTGAGGATTTGGAATGAACAATACTTTTGGCATCGACCTTGCATTCTTTGACCTGCCTAATAAGTTACCATCTATACAAAGCAACGCTCCATCCTGGAACATCCTTCGACCGGACTATATTTCTCAAGCAGTGGATGTGGCATCCAAGGTTTTGCGATATGAGGGCATTATGCTAGTCATTCTTCCCCGTTCTTTATTTTGGGGAAGTCTTCTTGCAATGATGGTGAAGAATGATGACTCTAGATTGGTTGAGTTTGCATCAGGCTGCCTACTCTCAAACATCACAGTTGAAATAAAAGGAGTAGGTGGCTGAATCCAAAAGATTTGCATTTCCTTATTTTTCATATCTTAAATTGATTGCCTCTTTTCATTATAGGTTTTAGCATGGAACTACCATGCTCTCTACCGCTACTCTTGCCGTCATAGTATTATATGAGCTGATGAGCATGCAGGTTTGGCATTGCCAGGATATGATAGCTCAACAAATATCATCCCGAATGTCATCAACAAGGACCATCATATAAAGTTCCCTAGCTATTGACACCATTCACCAAAGGCCATGCAAATCCTTTTAGAGTTGTTTTGTCCTCCTAAGGAGATTGTGCTTGATGCTACAACAGGTTTTGGTTCGATGGTGCTAGTGGCTAAAGAGATTGGGCATGCAGTTTTTACACTAGAAAAGGAGAGTGCATTTGAAGGTATTCTTAGGACATTTTATAATAGGTGATAATAAAGTATAAATTTCTCATTATAGTAATTCCATCATGGTTATGTATATTAGGTGGATTGATGATGTGGGCTATAATTTGCCATGTTATGCAGAAGTAATGGCACAAGCTCATATACAACAAGAGCCCACAGTTAGAGAGCATAATACTATACGAACTCCTCCTCTTGTGGATGTGGATGCCGAGGAAGACTAAGTTTAGTTTTTTTTTTAGTCAAATTTTTTAGTGGTAATATAGAGTTTTTTCTTTGACTTATGATATTTATTTTCTTATTAGACTTATATTATTTAGCTTTTTCTTGGACTAAAAATATATCTTAAGTTTTGAATAGAATTGTTGGCTCGTCCCAAACTAATCATTTAAACATCAACTTTTGTATTTGGTAAAGTATATTGACTTCATTGACTTTCATTGACTTGAGCTCAGCTCATGAAAAATTACCCAACCCTATCTCTCGAGTGCTTTTTTAGGAATTCCACTTTTATTCTTGACTTTTCAATTTAAAGTTTTTGGTACAAATGTGTTACACTTGTTAAACTTCTAGCCACTGGTACATAGCTTATATTCAGCTCAATTTCAAAATTTACTTATTTGTGTTTTACAATTCCACCACCTATAGACAAAGTTCAATGTCCTCATCAAATGATAACCTATTTTTTTAAGTAACTCTATTATGGATAACTTTTTTTATCTTTTTACACCAAGCTAACACCAAAGGCTCATCATGCCTTACAAATTTGCACTCTTTGACTTATAATTTAGGTGAAGTATTTGTGGCTTGGATCCCACTAAATCCTTTAGAGATACTTTATCTCAACTTTACTACCCACTTCGGAGTAGTCTCAAACTATATTAGTATAAGGATCATCTTTTAAAACTTTAACATTTAACTTCTTATGTCAATTTTTTATATGTCTTTGACACCTTCCTATATACATATTTGTTATACAAACTCTACTTTCCCATCTGGAAGAGTTCTTTATTTAAAGACACTATACCTCTTATCAATCTAGAGACTAAGTTCTACCCACTGCATGGAAGAATATTCTAAAGAGTTTTTTTCTCTTTTGGACTTATTTATAATCCCATCAACTTTAGTGTTCTTATATCTATCTTCCAAAACTAGTTGTATCTATCCAAGATATCCTTATTCAGTAATTCAACCTTGCATAAGAGGATAGCTTTAAAAGATAAGTTTAAATTTCATAGAGTAGGTGTAAATTTTTCAATCTACTACCTTAAGATGTCCCAATTTGTATCACCTTTTATACCTATAATTTGGATTAAATTTATTAATGATATTGCCTCTTACATTTCCCTAAATTTGAATTCTCACTTTATATATTATTTGAATTCACTCTAACAGTTTACTAAGCCCATTCTTGACAACTAATCTTTTATTTTTATATATCAAGCAACATAAAATCACCACTTTCATCTTTAGGGTACTTTTTTGTTCCACAGAAAATATTATAACTTGCTAAGTCCATAGGTATTCACCCCTTAGTGAGTCTTGCTTGTATGTGGGGCATAATTTTAATAAATTTATGAGTTTCACCTTAAATGTGTTCCCCACTTAATCACTCTGACCAAGTCACATTATTATCAATTGTTCAAATAACAATTTTTGAAAAAATGTCTGGAATTTTCACCTTTCCCAAACAAATGATTGTGAGGACATGGAAATGGCTTCTCCAGAGTAGCACACACAAACTCCCCAAGTTCTCATGGCTGCAATAGGTAAGAACACATTGTACATTCAATTGAAGAATTGTTGTGAGTTTTCTCTCCAAGCTCCAAACAAAGTTTTAGTGGACTAGAAGAATGCTGACCAAACCATAACTTTATTTAAATGCTCTTTATTTAGTCTTTTTTACTGAAGCTTAAACCATCTATAGTGGTGGTAGTTTTCAAAATTTTCCATCTTGGAAAGAGTGTAGTAGATCTAAACCTGCCCAAGCTCTACTCTCACCACAAAGCATGACTGGTGGTAAGCATTTTCTTTTATATTATTTTTGCTCCATCTTGATCAAATTTACAGTTACATAGCATCTTGGAGCTGCCTTTTGGGATGCCTCAAAGACACACTTCACCTTATGACTTCCAGCACGAAGCCACCTTCACTGCAAGGCCACTTACCTCCAGGTTTATCAATATCAATTTCACTGATGCTTTTGGTAAGCATCTTGCCACAGCTTCCCTAGCCTTGGCTGCCCACCTTTTAAAGCCATTGAGGTGGTAATGCATTCTGCACTATAAGGTGAAGGCTAAGATCCAAACTACCATTGTTTTGCCATAGAGGTTTTCGCACAGACTTCTATGAGAGTGGCTTGCCTCTACTATGGACTTTCTTCATCCCTTGGATATTCTTCTGCTGAAGGAGTTCCCTCCTGCTACTGTATCTTCCTATTGCATGGTCACTATTGCAGTGATTGGAGACTCCAAACACAACAAACATCATCGTTATTTCTGATGATCTAGAGAAAGTGAGTGATTTCAAGGTAGTTGACTGTCCTTTTCTTTGATTATAAGAGCCAATCCTTGTATGGAGAATGTTTATCATGACCTCAAGTCATGTTGGTTTGCTGAAGAGAAGCATATATGTATTTTCTACAACTTGAGAGGTACTAAGGATACCAATGTCTTCAAGGTCACCCCTTGCACTATCATGTGCAACGTTACTGAAGACAAATCATGGGACAAAATATGCAGTTAACTCCAAGCTATTTCAAGAATGTATGCTAAGAAGTTCAAAGGGGTACATTTGTTGTTGTTTTACAAACATGTTGACGGCCACTTCATTCCACACGATCCTCAATCTATTTCAGTAGCTGCACTTGCCACATTTGTAAGAAATTCAAGATTGAGAGGCAAACTAGGTGCCACCACTGCAAGAACAAGTGAAGTTATTTCTCCACGCTGCCCAAACATATGGACTCCATCCTAGTGATTTTCTTAGTATGTTCACATCACAGCGCAGGCCACAGGCAATCAAACACACCACCAACCGGTCAGATCCCAAAAGTTATAAACCGCAGGGTAGCAGAGGCTTTGCATTCTTGTCTCAGACAAAACGTGCATTGTATTCTTTCCCAACGCAATCACCTATGACTATGACTCGTGGCAAATCTTGCTTAAACTTTTCTCATCATTCAACTATTAAGCTCAGGTATGTTGATGGCAGGTATAGCTCGGATGGAATTCAAACTCTTCTGAAGAGATTATAGAGACGTAAAGTCTGGAAGCTACTATAGGGAAGAAGAGATCAAATTCTCGCTGTAAGAGGTTGCATGTCAAAACAAGTCCTTCAACAAGGTAGTTGGACCACCCGGCTACAGTAGTGAGGTTATGGTGACTACATGCATGGCTTACACTCCCTAATGACAGAATTCTAACTTGGGCAACTATTAAGGCCTTCCTCCTCTTCTCAATTGTAGCTATAGACAAACTGTGTATTTGTAAACTTTGAATAGACAAACACTTTTGATTTCAAGAGCATTTTGTTTTTCATTAGTCCAATGGCAAGAGAAAAGATTGACTGGGACTAGAAAGAGACCAACAAAAGACTACTGTAGACCTCCATCAGCAATGCACTTGGTCTAGATTGCTGGAGAGTCTAGGAGATTGAGCTTGATGTAGTTGCAATATGTCTGTTATCTTTGGAGTTGAGTTTCCAATGCGTCTGGCTAGCATTTGCTGGGCAATTTCTGGTTAGTATGATAAAATAGTCCCAGAGGCTATATCCCTTGGGCTGTGACAAGAATGGTCGTGGGACGTGTCACGCTACAAAAAACGAAAGCGAGAAGAATAAATGTTAGCTTTTTTGGATGCTTGTGCTTCACTACTCTATTCAGTCAAGCACTCATCTTTTGAATGGTGAAGAGCTACAGCGAGCTCCAGAGAGACAGTCAGTTTTAGTCCTTTTGAAGAGTTGGAGTAACAAATGGTGGTGGGAATTTTGATCATACGTATAAGGAAGTCAAATCTCAAAAAAAAAAAAAAAAAAAAGACAAAATACTTCCAGTCACCAAGTGACCATAGTTTTGTAATAAGCTTAGTTCTTGGATCTTCATGGTTTCCACTTGTTTTCTCAAGGTGATCATCTCCAGGATTATTCAATAGTAGAGAAGAACATTTGGAATACACTGCCTGAATTGGTGGAGACTTGCAATGAGTTACTGGCGGCCAACCAAGTCGTTTGCATTGTGCAATTTCCAGGGATATATGGCTGGACGGAAAGCTTTTCTCAATTTACAGGAAGTTTTCTCGGTAGCTTCACGTCACTAGCTTCTTGATATCTTCAGCCTTCATCATACTCCATTGTCTTCGCCGATCGTTCTGTTGTCGTCTGGGGCCTGGCTCGCCCCTCTATACACAAAATTGATTTAGCACAAACAGCATCAAGGCAATAGCAAAATTCGAAGACCTTTTTGAAGACGAATACCAAGTAGAGGTAAGCAGCTTCCCATTCGTCTGGAGATAAGGTGTCTCCATTACCTGGGAGAAAAGAAACAAAACATAGAAACTAGAAAGGAAACATCAAAACTCACTTCCATCTCCCAAAGCACCGAGTTTCCGCATTAGATCAATAAAGTGGTCGTCTTTGATGTGCTTGTGGACAAAGTCATGAAAGTTAAGTTTAAGCACAAGATCTAACCCATACTACAGGAAAAAACCAGTAAGGAATATGTAACATTCTGACTAAAATACTTACATTCGCCGCTAAAGACTGGAAATAAGGGAAGAAAACCAGCCATTCTGGGCAATCCACAGCATCCTGTCAATCAACAGAAATGCTTTAAGAACCGGGGGAAAAAGTTACAACGCACCTCGAGCTTGAAGTGATACTGGATCCCAAAACGAGTGGCTTGAGGAAATCTCTGGAAAGTAAACAGCAAGTATACGGCGTTCATCAAAAGTAAAAGCTCTACCTTGGTTCTGTGTTCCTCCCCAAAGCTTATGTTATACACACTGTTCCCAAACTCGAGGTCTTGCGCTGCTTACAAACATCATCCCTGGAATCAACGCTGCTGGTAAAAAACGTACCAGCTCGGAGCTTCTGGACAATCACGTTCGAATCTGGCATGGTCCCTATGAAGAAGCCACCCGGGTTGAGCATTCTGGAAACATTATCCAAAGCTCGCTCTGCCCGTTCTATCGTCGACCACGAGTAATGTAGAGCAAACTGAGAGAAAAAAGAAGTGAATAGTCAAAACCATGAAGAAGGGATTCGATTTGGACGAGTACCTGGCAGCTACAAACATCGAAGCCTCCCTGGATGCTTCTCTCGAGATCTACCTGCAAGACAAAATGCATCAAATATTTTTTACGAGCAAAGAAAATTACTTACCTCGTAACAGTCTCCACAGAAGAGCTCCGCTGCGAAGGACAGTCTCTGCCTCCTGTTGTTGTATCTCTTCATCGCGTCATCAATCTTTTCGTTGAAAAGAAACAAAAGGTCAGAGATTTTTCTCTATCGATCCCTTTTGTTTCTATGAAACAATCTCGATCGACTTACCGATCCAGCTGCAATGTCAACGCCAACATATCTTCCAATGTTCGCTTTGTCATATTTGATCAGATCGCCGCCCTAAGAAGTGAGTGATAGTAGCGAGAAAAATGTAGAGAGATTTCATCCTACCTTGCCACAAGCGAGGTCGAGCACGGAATCTCCTTTGTGAACGTACAAGTGTATAAGAACGCTCTTGATCTACATACAACAAAGAGAGTAAAGAAAAATTCCAAGGGAAAGAATGCAGTCGTTCTTTCTTTCCACTCACCCAATTGTTGAGCTTCTTGAGATGGATAATCGGGCTCGACTCGCGCTCCTCTCGCGACTGGTTGGATCGCCCGCTGTAAAAATCCGCGACTTGCTTAGCCTTCTTCCGCGACTCAACTGCATCGGCGAGAAGGAAAATTTTGCAAGTGATCAAAACCGCAAAGAGAATTCTACCGAAATCCTCGCGCTCCTTGCCGCGCTTCGCATTCATTCTTAACCTGGAATCGCAAGAACCCTAGAATCTCATCGTGCTGGAATCAACGGTCAGTTTTAAATGATGCCCTAAAATGTGAATGGATGGATCGCAATGGCCTAGCGCATCTACTGAGGAGCTGCTCAAGAGATCTCCACGAGCTGCGATGGATCCATTCTCAGATCCGCGGCAGCGATCACAGGCACGACACATTCCTCGCCAATCTCTTGATCGACGCGTACTCGAGATGCGGCCGCCCGGACGAATCGCGCGGCGTTTTCGATGCCCTCGAATGCCCCAATTCCCACTCTTGGAATTGCCTCATTCACGCGTATGCCCACAATGGGCAATTGCCCAACGCCTGGGAATTCTTCTCCGCCATGCCCGATCGCAGCGTCATCACCTGGAATTCCCTTTTCTCCAATTGCGTCACCGCCAATCAGCTCCACAGCGCCCGAGATCTCTTCCATCGCATGCCGCAGCACAGCATCATCACGCTCAATTCGATGATCCAGGGATTCATCCAGATGGGCTGGCTCGAATCCGCGATCCAATCGTTCCACGCCATGCCGGAGAGATCGGTGATCACTTGGAGCTCCATGCTCGTCGCGAGCGCTCAAACGGGGAGTCTGTACGACGCGCGCTCCTTCTTCGACAAAATGCCCGCGCGTACGGTAGTGACCTGGACAGCCATGCTGGCTGCCCACGGCCAACATGGCGACGTGGACGCCGCGATGGCGGCCTTCCACGCGATGCCAGAGAGGAACACCGTGACGTGGAACGCCATGCTGGCGGCTTATGCCATTAACGGGCATGCCGATGAGGCAAGGATGCTGTTTGATTCCATGCCAAACGGCCGCACAGTTGTGACGTGGAACACGCTCGTCACTGGATTCGCCGGGTCAGAGCGCCACGTGGATGCGATCGCGGCCTTTGATCGCATGCCACGTTGGAGCATCGTGTCCTTCAATTGTATGATCCAGGCAAATGCCCAGAGAGGGCAAATGCAGTGCGCGAGGGAGATCTTTGACGAGATGCCCCAGCGCAGCGTCGTCTCCTGGTGCCTGATGATCACGGCGTATGGGCAATCGGGGAGCGCGATCGAGGCCCGGGATCTCTTCGATCGAGCTCCCAATCGATCGCTCGTGTCCTGGAACGCGATGCTGCTGGCGGCGGCTGTGAATGGCGACGCCAATCTCGCCGCGGCGGTGTTCTCGCGAATGCCCGAGTGGGATTCCATCACCGCCAACAGCATGGTGTCGGGATTGGCCGATGGGGGCAGGGTCTGCGAGGCCGAGGAGATCGCCAAGCGCAATTCCAACCCCAAATCCTGGACGATCATGCTTGGCGCGCTCGCCGACAGCGGCGAGATCGATCGCGCAAGGGCTCTGTTCGAGAGCATGCCAGTGAAAGATCTCGTCTCCTGGAACGCGATGATGCAAGCCTATGGCCGCGAGGGCAGCGCGAGCGAGGCCAGAGCAACATTCGATCGAATGCCCAGGAGAGATATCGTGTCGTGGATCTGCCTCATAGCGTCTCTGGCCAGGAACAAGCTCGTGGACGAGGCCGCGCTAGCGCTGGATCGAGCGCCAATGGTGGCCGATAGCACGCTCACAGCGATGCTCACCGTGTATGCCCAGAGTGGGCATTTGCGCCACGCCTGGCAGATCTTCGCCGCTATGCCCGAGAGGGACTGCGTGGCGTGGACGGCCATGATCGCGGCGTATGCCCACTTTGGGCATCTCGATGACTCCTCGGGAGCTCTGGAGCTGCTCTGGATGATGGAGCTCGACGGTGCTCGGCCAAACGCTGTCACCTTCTCGGCAGCTCTCGCAGCGTGTAGCCACTTGGGCGTTGTGGATCTGGGACGGGAGCTCTTTCTCTCGATGGTATTGGATCGAAGCGTCGTTCCCGAGCAGCAGCACTACTGCTCGATTGTTGATATGTTCGCCAGGGCCGGGAGAACTCGAGAGGCCGAGGAGCTCCTCCAGTGCATGCCTTTCCAGGCCGACGATAGATCCTGGACTGCGCTTCTCACGGCTTGTAAGAACCAAGGCGACATAACTGGAGCTACTCGAGCGGCCGAGTTTGCCATGACTGACAGCCAAAGCGGTCCTTACTTGTTGGTGTCCGACTTGTACAAATCGATACTTCGTTCCTGATAGATTTGCTTTTCTCCCGGAGGAAAAAACCTCTTTTTATTCTTCTTCTTCTTCTTTCCTGGCTCTGGCAAGCAAAGCTCACATTGATGCGCTTAAGTAGTCACGGCGAGAAATTTATAAAAGAAATACCACCTCGATCGATTATAGAAAATTGCATACCCCTCCGCCGGGTCGATCGATTAGTGAGCGGACTCTCTGCTGTAGAATGCATCCAGAGTCTTTCCTGGTATGCGGCGCAGTAGTTCTCTGGGGAAAATCCGGAGCAAAGTCCACGCCAAGTCCAAGGACTGGAAGATGTCTCTTGTGTCGTAAGCGCTTTGACTGACAAATTTTCTCTCGAATTTGTCTAAGAACTCCAAGTACAGCTGCAGGGAAGGAACACAGTTGGTTAACATACTGGCATCAAAAAGCAAAACTGGTGCTTTACCAGATCTTCAGATGACAGCGCTTCTTCTCCCACGACAGCTTTCATCGCTTGAACGTCTTTGCCAATGGCATAGTTTGCATAGAGCTGCAAAACCAGTAGACAGTGTTAAACGGCATAATGATGTAGACACAATCGCTCACCTGGTTCGAAACGTCGGAGTGATCCTTTCGGGTCATACCTTCTCCAATAGCACTCTATGCAAAAGAAAACAAAAAATCGTTAACCGGATATCTATTAAGCTCCTGTGTGGTACCTTCATCAAACGAGAAAGCGATGGCAACACGTTGATAGGTGGATAGATCTGAAACACAAGCAGCCAAAGAGCAGTGTTACATGTACACTGCAAAATACCAGCACAAACCTGACGATTGTAGAGTTGACGGTCCACATAAATCTGTCCCTCAGTAATGTAACCAGTGAGATCAGGAATCGGATGAGTGATATCTGCGAGTAAGTCAGTAGATGATCTCGATGATCAGACATCTCGTACCATCGTTTGGCATACTGAGAATGGGAATTTGAGTGATTGATCCCATTCGTCCTTCAATTCGTCCAGCACGCTCGTAAATTGTTGCCAAATCTGTATACATATAACCAGGATATCCACGACGACCAGGCACCTCCTCACGAGCGGCAGACACCTACACAAAGCCATGGTTATCATAACTCTCATGAAAAACTTGAAACATACGATCATACCTCACGCAATGCATCCGCATACGAACTCATGTCGGTCAAAATGACAAGCACATGTTTCCCGCAATCATAAGCCAGATATTCTGCCGTCGTCAACGCAATCCTGGGAGTAATGATACGTTCGATTGTGGGATCGTTCGCCTGTACGAAGCACGATGGAGGAGTAAAAACGCATTGGCATTGTCAATCCATAACGTACCAGGTTTAAGAACAATGTGACTCTTTCCATCGATCCATTTTCCTCAAAATCTCTTTTGAAAAACTGTGCAGTCTCCATGTTCACACCCATAGCTGCAAAGACGATTGCAAAGTTGTCTTCAACATCACGCTGGATACGAAAGAAACTCATCAGTCTCAACAACAGACAGAAGATAAACGGAAAACAAAAGTACCTCCAAAACGTTCCCCGCGTCCAAGTGTCTCACAAGTCCGGCTTGTCGGCATATTTGAGCAGCAATTTCGTTGTGCGGCAGCCCAGCAGCCGAGAAAAGTGGGATTTTCTGACCTCGGGCTATGGAGTTCATAACGTCGATGGTCGAAATGCCAGTCTGAATCATTTCTTCCGGGTACGTACGTTCGCTTGGGTTGATGGAGCTTCCTGTAGAACATCTAGAGGTCAGTTGAATATCAAGTAGAAGAAGATGTATCACCAGAAATGTCTAGATAAGCTTCTGCCAAGATCGGGGGCCCGTTATCGATAGGCTTCCCAGAACCATTAAAGATTCTACCGAGCATATCTATGGACACCGGGGTTTTCAACACCTGGAAAGCATACAGTAGAGTCAAAATCACTGTAGGAAGAAAGAGCAAGCCACCTCTCCAGTGAACTCAACAGTCGTGTGCTTGTTATCAATTCCAGTAGTCCCTTCGAAGACCTGAAAAGAGGAGAAGCTCAGTAACTCGGTCGCCAGAACAAGAGATTGAATCAATGACCTGCACCACGGCCCGTTCGCCATCGATCTCCAGCACCTGACCTCTCCTGTAAGAACCATCGCCAAGTCTCAAGTTCACGATTTCTTGGAACTTTGGGCCCTGGTGGAACATCAATCGACAGCTATGAGCGATGGAAAAGCTTCCAACAAGCGACAGAATACCTTGACTTTGTCGAGCATCACCAGAGGCCCAGACACTCCAGCAACAGTCCGATAGTCTACACCACAGCAAGCTCTCAGTCCCTGGATTCCAATGCGAGGACGAAATTTAGCATCGCCGAGATCTTACCAATCAGGGGCTGGCATTCGTACTCCTTCACGCCCATTGCGGCAGATCTGCTCGAAATATCAATCGCGCCAATCGATCAATCACGAAATCGCGAGGAGGAGGCGCCCTTACCCGACGCTAGGCGAGACCGGAGCTCCCGGATGCCGAGGTGTGAATTAGGGCTCTTTCTCTCTTAGAAGAAAGAAATAGCCTAGAAGATGATACGTCCAAGCATTTTATTCCATCCAATCAAAAAGGAAAGTTAAAAAGGAAAGGAATGCCGCAAGAACACACAGCATCAATTCGTCTTGTTACTCTCATCTCATCTCTTCCAAATCGCAAAAGCTTTGGTCTAGACGCGGTAGCCAGTGATCGATCGCCGCCCAATCATCCCGCCCACGCAGAACCACGCGTAGCACTCGCCCACGAACAGCGCAGCGATCCCGACCTCCTCGAGCTTCAGCTCTTGCCGATTCCGGAACTTGGCCTTGACGATCTCCACCTCTTTCCAGAACGATTCCGCGCGATGGGGCAAGCTGCGAGAGAGAAGGGTCGCGATTCCGCGATCAATCCAAGGGATTCCATCCATACCTGGCCAGGCGCGTGTAGAGGAGCTGCTTGGAGAGCTCGTTACACTTCTCCACCGTCGGCTCTTCCACGATGTAATGCTTGTTCCGCTCGAGCAGCGTCTTGTAGTACTCGCCGGCGTGCTTCATCACATACTCGGTAGCGGCGGTGGACTTGTGCTGAAGATTCCTCCAGGCGGCCGCCATCGATCAGATCCTTTCCTTCCTCTCAAGAACCCTAGAACTGGAACACCAAGGGTTTTTGTTTAAGATCATATCATACAGAGCGTCGTCCAGTGATGGTAGTGGCACGCGGCGTCGTGGCTTTGACAAGATCTTCGAGCGTTTCGTCCAGCATTTCTTCCATCACCGAGCTCGATCCAGACGACCCTTCCTCTTCCTCTTCCACTACTGCTTCCAGGGAAGATCGAGTAGTTCTCGCAGTAGCAGCAGTAGCAAACTCTTCTCCTCCTTCCAGTTCTTCGCTCTCTCCCAGCTCTTGATCGTCGCTGAACAAGTACCTCTGTGCTGTGCCACTCTCCATCGAGCTCCTGCTTCCCACAATCGTGGGACTTCCTATCCGTACTACGCCTGGAGAATCGTAACTCCTGTAGTCCGCCATCCTTCCACCCTCCTGTTCCTCCTCTAGCTCTTGATCGTCTCGACCACCTGATGACCAGTACGATCCCGTTGAGCTGCTCGTGGAGTTTTCGTCCCTCACAGAAGGATCGATGATCTCCGAGACTTCCAAGCTGCTGTCAACCGACGCTGATTCACTATACCGCTGCTTGGTGGGTCGTGCTGCTTGGGCGTTACTGCTTCTGAGTTGTAAGGGGCTGCCATCCTCGTCCCTCGATAATCTGGCAGCTTTGTTGTATAAGTCCGTGTAGTCATCCCCGGATCTCCTACACGAAAGTTATAAATCCTGGTTAGCCACCACTTCCAGAATCTCCAAGAAAAATATTACCGGCTTCCGAGAGACACCTTGAGAAAGTGTGTCGTCGCTCGCATCGTGTTCAGCTCTTTTGCCTGATGATAGGAAAAAGAAAAAGAAGGAAAGAACACATCGTGTCACACACAGTAGGAACAAAAGCAAACTAAAAAAAAAACAATCGAACAAAGAATGTCGAGCGTACCTGGAACGCAAGCTTTTGTTGGAGTTGACTTACAACGTGATGGAGCCTCAATCGTTCTCGCTCGGACATTTCCAGCAGCGAGGCCATCTCTTGTGCCATGGCACGAATTCCCAGCAATTCCGCTTCCAGATGCTTGGCTCTCTCGAAAACCAGCTGATAGTCACCTTCCTTTGCATGCAACACCATCTCGTTGTTCTCGCTGTTCTTCCCGCTGTTCTTGACGATCAGCTTGTTTTCTCCTTCCAACTCGTGTTCTTGGTGCTCATCGCTATCGCTGCTGCACTGGGTTCCCATGTCGATTGCCACTTCTGTCGTCCCCGATGATCCAGAGGATTGCCCTGTGCTGGTGTTGGCCTTGGGCCCGTGAAGCTCCTGGATTACTCGCTCTACCTCAAAGATTGAATCGTTGGCTTCCTTGAGTTGCCGCTCGAGATTGGCGATGAGAGAGGTGTGTGAGTGGAGCGCCTTCTCTTTGCTCGATAGCTGTGCTTGCATCTCCATGATCATCTCCTCCCGGCTCTTGAGCTGGTGTCTCAATCGATGCACGGCTTGGCGATGCACGATTCCTGGACGAAGTCGAGGGAAAATAAAAAATCAAGAACGAAAGAAAGGGGCTTTCCGTCGATTCTCGACCAACTGGGAAAGGAAATCTGCGCTTACCATCGGAAGAAATCTCACTGCTGCTGCCACTGCTGCTACTGCCGCTGCTCGATTCGCGACGCAACACCATGCACTCGGCATCCATCGCTGCGAGACCTGAGCATTCCAGATAGAAATATTACGGCCCAAGAACAAGACACCAGGGAGAAAGAAGAAGAAATCTCTGCGGATTCTCACCATTGCCGTGCTGCTCGGGGTGAATCGCTGCCGCCGCCGCCGCCGCCTTGTTCTTGCTCTTGTTCTTGCTACTCCGTGTGAATGCCAGCGACAAGACCGTCGCTACGGCGCCGCCGACGACCAGACCCCAGTTCACGCCTTGCTGCTGGCGATAAGAAGACGCTGGCATCCTTCTTCCTCCTGGCCAAGGAATCTCCAACGGGTCGGAACAAGGGACGTACGCTTGAAAGCGTACGGAAGAGGATAAACCCTAAATTCTTGGCTATGGAGGACGAGTTTTGGAGCGTGCCGCTGCCGCCTTCGAGCATCAGGCTCGTCGATTCGATCGATGGCGAGGCGTTCCAGGGATTTCTTCTGGCGCTGCAAGAATCGTCAGTGATCGCGCTGGATGCTGAGTGGAAGCCTGTCTTGGTAGCTGGTATGCACCCCAGGGTTTCGCTGCTCCAGATTGCGTGCCGGAAGCGAGATTTCGGCCCCGAGAGTGATCTTGTGTTCATCGTCGATGTGTTGTCGATCCCGGCTTCTGCATTGCTTCAGCCACTGGAAGAGGCATTGGAAACGTCTAGAATTCTAAAGCTGGGATTCAAGCTTCGACAAGATTTAATCAATCTCGCTGCATCGCTTTCGTCCACTGCGAGCTTCTCCTGTGAGGTAAGTGCCTGAGTTCCTCTTTTACTCGTAACTTTGCTCATTTTCCATGTCCTTCTCTTTGTAGCGTAGCCTTATATTGATATTGGGAAGCTCTATCATGAAGTGAAAAGGAAAAATCCACGTAAACTCCCGGGTGATACTCCGAGCTTATCCCACATATGTAGAGATGTTTTTGGTCGACCTCTTTGCAAGGTATGGGATGGAGTGTGTTTGCATGGCTGCTACTAGTGAAGCTATTTTTTGCGCAGAGTTTGCAATGTAGTGACTGGGAGCTGAGGCCACTGACTGAAGAACAAATATCTTATGCTGCCGCTGATGCGCATTGTCTTCTAGCAATTCTGGACGCTCTTCATCCCTATATAATCGACATGCAACGATCAAAAGCAGGTTGGTTTCGACTCTGGTCGATCTGTGGCCTTCTCATTGACGTTTTACATTCGCAGTTGCCTCGGTCGGAATTGCTCGTCTACTCTATCCTGATGAAGAGTTAAGCCCTCTTGTAACGAGGTTTAGGAGCATGAGCAAGAAGGCAGATAGGTCTGGAAAGTTTCTTGCGTATCTATTAACTTTTCAGCAGACGCTGTCACTGCAAGCCGACCCAAAAAAGAAAATCAGAACTCGGAGGGTACGGGACACAAACAGATCTCAGGGGCAGGCCGAGTTCGAGTGGTGTGGACCTCCGCCATGGGATCCTGTTGTGGGAGGTGATGGTTGCCCAAAGTTTCTGTGTGATATTATGGTAAGTTCGGCGGGCTAAGTGCATAAATTTTAACGCATTTTTTTCTTTCCTTCTGAACAGATCGAAGGCTTAGCTCGTCAGCTACGTTGCGTTGGAATTGACGCTGCTTGTCCACATAGGTTAAAACCCGACGCCAGGTTCTTGTTTTTTTCCTTTGGAGAGAAGAATTATTCCGCTGGATTGTATTCTTCTAGGCAACTAATCGAACAAGCTCAAAGAGAAGGGAGGATTCTACTAACAAGAGACGTAAAGCTACTCAGGCAGCGCCTTATTCCATCCAACCAAGCGTACCGTGTCAAACACCTAACAAAGAAAGAGCAACTTACTGAGGTACGATTCAATGCGTCGCTAGCGCTGTCCTTTTTGACAGTTTCTTTACTCAGATTATTGAGACGTTCCATCTTACAGTCTCCGAAGAGCATTTACTCTCGAGGTGCACGAGGTGCAACGGAGAGCTCTGTCCCAAACCATTGACCGCACAGCAAGCAAAGGCTGCTGCCCCCAACCAAAAAATTTCGGAAGATGTATTACTGCAGGACGGTTTACTATTCTGGCAATGCTCCGAGTGCAGGCATCTTTACTGGCAGGTTGGTAAATGACCTGCATCGTTTTCATTTTTATTTATCGGCCTCTCAAACGTTTGTCTCTTAAACTGCAGGGCTTGCAATTCCAGCGGGCAATGCAACGATTTTCTGCCATGTGTAGCTAGTTAGCCTTTCGCGTGTAACGTACGTGACAAGTGTTTAAATTAACCTGGTGTGCAAGTTCCGGAAGGTTCGATCATTCTTGCGTTCCGGGCACGTAATACACGCGAACAGAAGGAGAATAAGTTGGATGAGACATTTTTTCAACGACGATATGGATAGATGAGCAATACAGGATGGCACGAGAGAGACGGGTTGTTTCTTGAGGGCGTTTTTTACTTCATGCTTCGGCCTCGGGATTGGTGAATCATTTTCCGCTCCATGGACAGGCCACTGATTTGCAGCTTGCTTTATTCGACAGACAATCTAAGCAAGAGCAGCACAGGGAATTTAGTCCGCGCGAGAAGGAATGGTTCTGAAGTTCTAAGAAGGAGCAGCAACAGATCGACAGGGATTTTAGTTTGTAGTAGCAAACAGCGGGATTTAACAGCCGTTAGAAGGAGCGCTTTCGCTCGGGGATTGTTCGAGATGTCCAGGCCCATCAATCTCGTCCCGGCCTTCCTTTTAAGCTTCGCAGGCAGCTGGATGACTGCAAACTACAGCCCGAGCGTGCTACGCATGCCAGCTGTGTGGACAAGTTCAGCTTGTAGCGCTCTCATATTAGCAGCATCAATGCTCGTCAACGACTGCTACGATCATATATCTGGAACCGACGGTCTCAACAAAAGGAACTCGGCGTTGCTGAGTGGAGAAATCACCACGGCTGATGTGAGTCTTTCAAAATTAAAAGCTTCGCTCTAGAATGATCTTTTGCTTCGCAGGTTGGACTGGTTGCTGGATGCATCTACGGAGGCGTCATGCTGGCAACTTGTTGCTTGGAGCAACCCATCATGAGGCTACTCATCACACTCTCGGCGTACATCACATTTGTCTACACGCCGCTGGTCAAGAAGGTGACGCTGTTGAAGAACATTGTCGTATCCGGGGTGATTGCCAGCGCCATTTTTGCCGGGGGTCTTGCAGTGACACACGGTAGTGTCAGCGTGATTCCTCAGAGAACTCTTGCTTCCAGCTTCTACCTTTTCTTGTCGATTCTCGGCCGAGAGATTCTTATGGATGTCAAGGACATGGCTGGCGACAGAGTTACGGGAGTTCGCACCATACCAGTCTGCTTCGGCGAGCAGACGGGCACTTGTGTAGCAGTACTGTGCGCAACAGCGGCAAATCTTTTCCTGGTAATGTCTTTCTCCTGAGTTTTGACTTACGGCTCATGAGCTCATTCATGATACAGATCCAAATGGCTTGGTTGAGGAGGAAGTCGTGGTACGTCTCGTTAGTTTTGTCGATTATCAATTCTGGCATGCTTGCGTGTTTTATCTCGAAACTTCCCACGTTTTCTCGTGACGAACTCAGTCAAGATTACATGCTTGTGATGGCCTTGGGAACTATAACCATGGCAACGTCGTTATAATCGAGCTCCTTATAAGGTGACAAGCCATCCATTTCTTGCTGATATCATTCTTTGTCCTGTTCCAGTATCGAAGAATTTCTAGAAGAAAAAGAGTTGCTTAGCAGGTAACAACTTGCTAATGAGTTAATATGTCTTAGATGTTTTTCTCAGGATCGAGGGAAGTTTTAGTATATCTGATGATCTCTGGGGATGCTGCTGAATTGCTGAGGAACTGCAGCTCTGTAGCAGAAGTAAAGACCATCCACGCTCAAATCTGCGAGCACAATCTTCACGACGGCAGTGCAAAGAAGAGGAGGAGGTTTCTGGAAAATCTGGTCGTCCAGATGTACGCTCAGTGTGGCAGCGTGACCGATGCCCGCCAGGCCTTCGACACAATGAGCTCGCGCAAGAACGTCTTTTCGTGGACAATCATCATCTCCGCCTACGTCCGCGCAGATCACGGCAGCGACGCTCTCCAGCTCTTCCGGACAATGAACCAAGAGGGCGATCGAGCAGACGAGGTGACGCTCACTACACTCTTGGGGGCCTGCTCATCGCTGGAAGATCTCCAGCAGGGAAAGATGATCCACAGCTTGGTCAAGGAGCTCGGCTATGGGGAACAGGATGGAGAAGAGCAGGATCTCATGGTCGGGAATTCGCTGGTCAACATGTATGCCAAGTGCCGCAGCCTCGCCGACGCCATCGCCATCTTCGACCGGATGAAGAACAGAAGCGTCTTCTCGTGGACCATCATGGTGACGGCATTTGCCCAGAACGGGCAGCTGCAGCGAGCGATCCAGTGCTACCGCCAGATGTGCTGCGATGGAGTGGATCCCAACGCCGTGACATTCGTAGCGCTCCTGGCCGCGTGTTCTAGCGGTGGAGAGCTGGCTGCCGGACGGAAGATTGCCGCTCGCGTCGAGGCCAGTGGCCTAGACTCGGATCTCATCGTTGGAAGCGCGATCGTGAATTTCTACGGCAAGTGTGGGCGACTGGATGAAGCGCGCGAGGCCTTCGATCGAATGCCAGCTAAGAACAACGTGACTTGGAACGGGATGATCGCGGCCTACGTCCAGAGCGGCGCCGCCACCCAAGCAATGGATCTCTTCGCCACAATGGAGGATGAGGGAGTGGTGCCGGACGCGATGGCTGTGAGCAGCATTCTAGGCGCTTGCTCAAGGCTCGAATCTGGGAAAAGAATCCACTCGGCAGTGATCGATCGCCGCCAGGAGCTCCAGTCGGATCGAGCAGTTTGCAACGCGCTCGTCCACATGTACGCGAGGTGTGGCAGTCTCGACGATGCAAGGCTCGTGTTCCTGGCGATTCCTTCCAAGAACACCGTGTCGTGGACGACGATCATCGCGGCCTTCGCTCAGCAAGAGAATCGCGATTATATCGAAGCTGCTTTCCAGCTCTTCCGGGAGATGGATCTCGACGGCGTTGCTCCCACCGAGGTCACCATCTTCTACGCGTTGGAAACTTGCTCCAAGATGGATCGCGGAGGACTGGCCAGCGGACGAGCGCTCCACACCGCCATGGATACCGCTGGAAGAGTGGAGCTTCTTTCCAGCGTCGAGGTTCTCAACTCGCTGCTGGATATGTACGCCAGCTGCGGCAGCTTGATCGATGCCGAGGCAATCTTCGATCGTCTCCTCGGCTCGAGCAGCAAGAACGTCGACGTTGTCTCGTGGACGAACATGATCGCGGCCTACGTCCAGCATGGCCAATCTTCCTCGGCGCTGCTACTCGCAAAGAAGATGGACCTGGAAGGAGTGAAGCCGGACGAGATCGCCATGTCCACCATCTTGGGAGCTTGCACCGCGCACCAGGCCACCTCTCTCGGGCGAGAGCTCCATCGCCGGGCTCGAGAGCTCGGCTATGCCTCAAATACCATCGTTGGGAACGCGCTAGTCTTCATGTATGGCAGCTGGGGGAGAGTGGACGATGCCGCTCGAGTTTTCCAGGAGCTCAAGAACGCAAACAGCCCCGACTCCAACACTTTCACTGCGATGATCGCTGGCTATGCCCGTCAAGGCCGGACTTTGCAAGCTCTCTCGCTCTACAACGAGATGAATCTCCATGGAGTCGAGCCCAGGGACGCTACCTTTACGAGCATCTTCCAGGCATGCAGCCACGCGGGGTTTCTCGCCAAGGCCTTGGAGCACTTCGTTTTCATCTACGACTTCCAGGGATTGGAGCCGACGGCCGAGCACTTTGGCTGCGTGGTGGACTTGCTGGGACGAAGTGGATTCGTGCGAGAGGCTGAAGAGCTTGTGCTCGCCATGCCTTTCGAGCCGGACATTGTCGCATGGAGATCACTGCTAGCGTCGTGTGGTGGCTCCGATCAAGGAGCGAGCCGGAGGGCCGCCGAGGAGGCCGTCCACTTGCAACCGTCTGGCTGTTCTTCACACTACGTTCTCCTCTCCAACCTCGTCAGAACTCTAAATCATCATCATGAAAAGAATGCTTACCTTTGATCTTTGATCCGAAATGTGAAAGTCTCTGCACATTAAAGAGCTATTCCAGCGTAGCTTTAGTTCTCAAGAATCACACACGGCCGGCTTGGTCTATTACAAAACCTATTTGTTTTTTTTCTTTTGGCAGAGGAGTTGGTTTGGTTGTTCAAAATTCTCATAGATATAGAAAAAACTTAATTAAGTTAGCATGACGTGCCACTTGCAAAAATTGGTATTTCTGGTTTTCCTATTCTATATAAAACTAAGTTGCAATCGTTTTGTAGCAATAATATCGAACTTGCAAAACAATTATAAATTGGGATACAAAAAGTATTAGTAGACCATCTAGCTTTCAAATTGAATGCACCATATATCACTAAATTGCCATCAGATTGAATTCTTAATTTGCAATCAAAATCAGTGTCTTCTGTTTTAGTACTCCATTTAATAGTGCTCTTAAAATATAAAACAAGGTTACAATTATATTGAATTATAAGTATGTAATTGTTTGAAAAGTTATGTAGATACTTTTTTGATTCATACAAATAAGAATAAGGTTCATCGTATTCACCACTTAACATGACATGATTGAAAGCTGAATGCATATCAACATCATCATTTCGCAACATTTTTCGTTTTTTTAATATTAATTGACGAGATCTAGGAATTCTAATAACCCGGTAATTAACAATAAAACGTCCATAATAAGACATTATACTTACCGCAAAATACATAGGTCCTGTTTGAACAAGATTATTATATAATTGATTGAATGAGCTTATAATTATGCTTGACGCTTGATCATTCAACACTTGAAAAACCTGGAGATGGATGAAAATTGATGATGCCAGCATCAATCATATGAAGACATACTAGCATTACTCTATTACTGTTTGGAATCAGTACCGATGCTTCAAAACTAGCATCTGGATCTGTTACACCTCCAGCAGGTAATGCTTCATGTAATAAGGTGTTTAGAAATGCCATCAAGTAATCTACATTATTTTGATTAAGAATCCCTTCAGGGCCATAAACTCCATGTACTTCAACAGGTGAGGAGGTTACAATTTGAAAGCATATTAGAAGCAGAAAGATATATATTAATAATTGCACCATGCTAATCTAAATATTACAGCTCCCTTCTTGCATCTGATTCTAAAATTTTAATCTTTAAATGATTTCTAACACACGTTCCAAAGTATGTCTCTTGCCATGTGGCGGTGTATATATATCTATATAAAACTTCTGAAGTATTTTCTTCGTTGGTGTTCCTAGTGACATTGGCTTGCTCTTAAGAATGCGATGCAACAACCAGGAATTTAGACCACGACACGTGGATTGGCTTCTACGCTACATCTTCTAAGCTTTCCAGTTAGCAATTATAGGATGAGTTCACTAATCACTAGACCATCAACTACCAACCTTCGGACACAATGTAGTGGGATCCTTCCACCATGAGTTTCTTGTTTTCCAGTTCCAGATGATATTCCTGCATTTCATACGTGGTACTACCAAAAATTTACATTCTTTTTGACCATTCTTGGTCAAAGGATTCAACAGTGACTTGGAGCGCATGGAAACGCCCGAGCCTCCGTTGCCCTTCTCTGGCGCCGCATTTCCAGTACCGGTATGAAGCCATCGGCGCCAAGCCCTGGTCCCCTCTCTTGCTCTCTTCCAGCAGGTGCTGTGGATTCCTACACCTAGATCGCTTCATCGTTCCTTCTTGATCGACCGACCTAATGGCTCTGAGTTCTATTTTTATTCGTTCACGCATCGGGCATCCAGAAGTTCTTGCGGTCGCGGACGATATTGCACTTCTCTTCCTGGCATCTCAGATACTCACGCAAGCGCTCCATGACTCCACGGCGCACTCGAGGATCCAGAGCTGCCTCAAAAACCAATAGCGATTTCTGGAGATATTTGGATCATCTCAAGCTTGTCTACTATCCGCCTAAGGTAGCAACTTGTCTCTGGTTGTTGCTCACTCTGGATGGAACTTTTTTTTTTTCGTTTTTTCAGCCTACTATCGTGAGAATCGTACCTTTGTTTCAAATGGAACAGAAAAAACCTGGCTGGCTGGCTTGGTTTAAAACCCTTCGTAGTTTTACGCAGAGCGACAATTTCTTTCTCGACCGGAACAAAACGAGAAGAGATCGTGAGGAGATGAGCTCTGTTTCTAACTGACAACAGAAGACAACGTAAGATGGATTCAAAGGGGGCTACTGTTTTTATTTCTATTTATTTCAGTTTGCAGTTGAGATCATTGCTCCATTTCTCGCTCCCAACGCACTGGTGGCACACAAACAGACCAGTTGGATCGTACTTGTCCTTTATGTCAAGCAAGCGAGGATAGTTCTCTCCAAAGAAGGATTGTTGCCAGTTCGGTTCGTTGAAATCGGCTTCGTTCATGTAAGCTCCTGAACCCGGTAGCAACTTGTTTGCATGCGTGATCTGCCTCGCAAACTTTTCATATTCCGCCTGAGTTGTGTTATCGTTGGTGTTTGTTGCCAGGATGATATGCCAAAGTGCCGAGCGCAATGCCGGATTCACAGCGTTGTTCCGTGGCCGTGCCACATCTCCTCCAAGGTTGGAAACGCCGGTTATGGAGAAAGGAGTGTTGGTTATCTTCATCAATGCCCGGGAAATCTTCGTAGGACAATCCGTAAAGACTTTTCTGGGAATCAAGCTCGATGCTCCGGGAAATCTCAACTGGCTTCGTCTGGTGAAGGTGATGCAGCTGGGCTGGCCACCGCACTGAACAGCTAGATGCCATTCCTGAAAGGAAGAAAACGCGAGCAAACTGGTCTCAAGGACCATCCCTGGTTGATGCTCAGCGTAAGTCGTCAGCGGCGTCAGTGTCTCGTTCGCAAAGGAGACGTTTTTGTTCGGGAGGAGATAGACGAGCACCAGGCTTCGTCTTGAAAGGAAGAAATTCCCTGACCAGCCAGCGTCAGATAGCTCGGGACTGATCTGGACGAATTTCTTCACCAGCTTTCCCATGGGGTTGGAGGCGTTGACAGTGGTGGCAGTGAAGTTGTAGAGAGCAAAGGCGAGACTTTCAAGAGCAGGATGGGTTCTATATGTTGCAGAAACTACAACTCCGAAAGTGCCACCCCCTCCACCACGGAGTGCCCAGAAGAGTTCCTGGTTTTGCCAGTCATTAGCAACGAGGAGCTCACCACCAGCGGTAACAATTTCATATTGGAGAATGTTATCTGCAGCAAGTCCAAACATTGGCGAGAGCAAGCTGTGGCCGCCACCTTGAGGAAAACCACCTGCAGCCCCTACAGAAGAACATGCTCCTCCTGTTATGACAGAGTTTCGTTCGTGAGTTGCTGCATACAGCTCTTCCCACTGAACGCCAGCACCGATGGTCACGGCAGGGATCTTCCCCAGTGGTGGTGAATTCTTATCAGGACAATATCCTTCCGGGACAAAACTCTCGTGAAAAGTTATGCTCTTGAGATGGTGCAACCAGATGGCGAATGAACCCGGGGCTGTGCTGCGACCAGTGGGATCATGCCCGGAAGTTCTAACTACAAGCCGGAGATTATACCTGGAGGCAAACTTGACAGCCGAGATGACTTGCAAGGGGTCCAGGACACTTACGGCGTAGACCGGAACGGCACCTTGGAAGCATGTTGAGCTTCTGTTGGAGGCAAGCGAGCAGCGGTGCTGGTCTCCAAGGCTCTCAAAGTTTGAGGCATACAACGCACCAGGCTGGCTTGTTCTCCAGAATTCCAGCTCCCAGCTTTCTTGGACTTCTTTGCAGCCTTGTTCGTCAAAGAAGGGGTCGTGGCAAGGAGCAGCCGGAGGTAAGACTCTCATCAACCGTCCCTCCACTGACGTGTTGAAGCTGTTCCAGACTCGAGAAGATGGCCAGCAATCGTGATCAAATGCGAGGCAGCGGCATGAGGAATTCTGTGGCTCCTTGACAGAAAGAATACCGGGAACAAAGCTGAGGAGGAGGACCAAGTAAGTTGCTCTATGCATTTTTTTCTGCTTGTACATTGTCTCTTCAGAACCCGGTTTATATTCTGAGCGAAGCTTTTCCTGTTGTTTTATAGCTTCCTAACCGTTAGTGTTTTGTGCTCTGGAGCCATGTTATGAGCAGTGTGCGTCTATCCAGAGGAAGTAGGACGAGGAATAAGCAAAAACAAAATGGAATCCTTTCCATTTGGTGCACACAATCCGGCTCTCACAGCTTCTCTACAGTCAAATCCAAGGGAAAAAAGAAAAATCAGGCCGCACTGTGGAAACGTTGGACCCTTGTTTACTTAACTCAATGGAAATACTCGTTCTGGCATTCATTCATTCATATACTGCTTACAAGGCTAGTCGTTCGTTGTCCAACTTGGTCATTTCCTACAATAAGTTTGGACTCATCACGATTACGATCAACTCAAAAAACATTTTAATCCAATTTGCTATAGTAGTCTAATAAAAGTATGCTAAATGTTACTTACATGTAACGGACCGGATCTATGTTTGGTGTTGGGATGAAGCCATAATAATTCATGTCCCCATCTCTTTTCTTATTAGATCTATTAACAGCTGGGAGGCCTCGTATTCAGCTTCCTGGAGAGGAAAGCTATGAGCAGCGGTATCTTTGTGGAAACAAAGATGAAGCATCTTAAACTTTGGTCCTGGACGTCGTCCACTTGTCCACGCTTTGTCAACATAGAAAGAATTAGCACTTCAAGGACCTACACAAACATTCTCATTAGTTAGAAAGCCCTGGACGTCACAATGTAGTTGCCCTCCTGTTTTTCCCAGTGCTCAATATCTCTCAGATGTCAGAGCAATGCAATTGTTTTTCCCCTTGCTTTCTTTTCTGTTTGCTCATACTTCCATTGCTTTCCTTGCTTCTCGAGCGCAGAGACCCAGACTAGGCATATGGAGAAGCGATCCCGCAGTGGGATTCTTTCCAGCATGACCGCCTGTCAGTGCTCGAGATTTCTCATTTCTCCCCTGGGCAAATACCGCAGTCAAAACGTTCCACGCAATTCCATCGCTCTGGGGCTTCTTGCTCGACGTCTCAAGTGCCGGATCGATTCTTCCAGCGCGCCTGGTCATACCATCTTGCCAAAACCCCTGTGGCACGGGATTGTGGCTACTTCGATCCTGCAAGCATCCCAAATGCTAACTCGTGGCTATCACTGACTATCGCAGGCCAGGAGTTTCCTTCAACCTTCAAGACCATGCGCAATGAAAAAAAAAACTCCTTAGCAACGAATTAGCCATTACCAAATGTTCAAGATTGACTGTTAGTATCGTTATTATAAGAATTCCTATCACGACTTCTTACAATTAGGTGGAACTACCATTCGGCGACACGTACAACCAAGTTGGAGTTTTAATGACTGAAGTTGAGTTAATTGTTGTATCGAGAAGCGAAATCATGGTGGTCGGAGTGATTTGGGTGTTGCTGCTCTTCTTCTCGGCTTTTAATCTTGGAGTGAAGTGCCAGGTAAGCTTTGGATATGAGAATTTCCCAGAATTCTTGGCGGATTTCATCCTCTCGGGAGATGCAAACATAAGCAATGGAGCGCTCCTTCTCACCGGCGATCGCACCTTCAGCTTTGGAAGAGCAATGCGGAGGCAGACCATTCAGTTGTGCAACTCGTCGGGATTCATGGCCTCGTTCGTGACTGACTTCACTTTCCTCATCCAGAAGAAAGAGTCTGACCTTGTCAACGCCGATGGCTTTGCGTTTACCATCGCCCCGAACGCGACCGCGCCTTCGAACGAGAGCTATGGACGCTGGATGGGCCTCTTTGACAAGAACACGAATGGATTTCCGTCCAACAATCTGGCAGCGGTGGAGTTTGACACCTTTCGAAACCAGCCAGGGATGTACCCAGCGTTCCAAGACATTGACAACAATCACGTCGGTCTCAATCTCAACAGCATGCTATCCATCAGCTCGAGCTCGCTCTATCCCTTCCAGGTCTTTCTCGGCTCCGGAGCTCCAATGGCTGCTAGGATCGATTACAACGCCACCGCTAAGAGGCTGCGAGTTTACGTCTCGGACAACGTGACGAGGACCAGAGTTGGAAGCCTGGTCCTGGAGCACAGCTTTGATATATGCTCCATCATTTCAAAAGAGAATACTTTCGTGGGCTTCTCCGCTGGATCTGGATCGAAAAACATCGACTTCCACAAGATCTTGTCGTGGAAGTTTGATAGCAGCGAGCTCTTCCTCCCGGTGACGGAGGATCCTGGCAGCAGAGGTGACACGCAGACTTCTCGGGCAATCATACTTGGATCTTCATTGTCGTCAGCTTTTTTAGTTTTGCTCGGAATCATTGGAGTGACAACCTTGGTAGCGCTCTCAAGGAGGCGAAAGGCGCAGGAAAACGATCTCGTCCAGCTCCCTCACAGCATCTCATACGCAGATCTGAGCGCCGGAACAAACAACTTTAGCAAAGACAACTTGCTCGGCCGGGGCGGATTCGGCAGCGTCTACAAAGGTGTGCTTCCGAACGATCAGTCTCTAGTAGCGGTGAAGCGGATCTCCAAAGACTCACAGCAAGGCGAACGAGAGTTTCTTGCCGAGGTGCAAATCATCAGCCAGCTGAGCCATCGTAATCTCGTCAAGCTCCGGGGGTGGTGCAAGCAAAAGCGAGAGCTCATCCTAGTCTACGACTTCATGCCTCGCGGGAGCCTCGATCGAGCTCTCTTCGATCCCGACGAGCCCGTTCTTCCCTGGGAGGTGAGGTATAGAATTCTTTGCGGCCTCGCAGCGGCGCTTCTCTACATCCACGAAGACTGGGATCAGCAAGTCGTGCACAGAGATATCAAGAGTAGCAACGTGATGCTTGACGCGGACTTCAATGCCCGACTGGGAGACTTTGGCCTCGCTCGAGCACTGGAGCGTGATAGAGCTGACAACATGGAATCGACCACCATTGCTGGAACGCTCGGATACATGGCTCCGGAGATCTTCCAAACGTTTTCATTCACTCCAACCACGGACGTGTATAGTTTTGGAATGGTGGCGCTCGAGGTGGTGTGTGGGAGAAAGGTGGTGACCAAATTCAACACAGGGAAGAGCTTGCTGCTTCCATGGGTGCAAGACTGTTACATGGACAACCGGCTTTTGGACACAGTGGATTTCAGACTAAATGGGGACTTCGACGCTGGAGAGGCAAGCCGAGCTCTGAAGACCGCGCTCATGTGCGTGGATCTTAATCCCGCGAGAAGACCCAGCATGAGGCCAGTACATTTCATTCTCACTGGTGATATCACTCTCACTGTTTGAGCGATCCAGTGAAAGCTTTGGGATTAACTGTTTGAAGACTGGATTTTTCTTTCACGATTCCGTAGCCAAGCACGCTGTCGATTTGACCATTGTAGACTGAAACTCTTCGTCTCGTCAGAAAAAAGTGGCACGACATAAAAAACTGGCACGGCAGCACCCACAAAATGCTGCAAGAAATCATCTTTTTCTGCCCCGACAGGGGGCGGCGCTGCTTACAGGAAAGGGACTTTGTAGCGATCCAGCGAGACGTGCTTATTGAGGAGCTGAGAGGGAAGCAGGCGTGTTCTCAGCCCCTGTGCCGGCTTGGGAAGATTAGAATTCTGGTTTGCGATGTTGCCGGAGAAAAACACTGGTCGCCCGCTGAGAGTGGTGGGGGGCATTCTTGTAGGCGAAGCTCAACAGATGCCGGATGTACTGGACGACAAGGTCGAAGGGAGGATAGTGCCAGTTGCCCAAACGGATTGATGGGGGATGGGGACGGATGCTGGAGACTCATCATCGAGGACCTGGACTGGGAGCCCACGGCCTGCCAGAGAGGAGGGAATGGTTTCTTCACATATCAGGTGAAAGAATTCTGCAATGGGCTTATGACTAGTCGAGAACTAGCACGAGTGGAGGTGCCAAAGCTATAGGACCGATGTGGTCGAACTCAGGGTGGAGGCGGACTATAGCGTTTTGGAAACTCCTGGTAACGAACGGTTTCCCAGTAGGGCAGCGATGTCATACTGCCACATTGTCCAGTTCCACCGTAAGGTCGATCTAAGGGTCCTCATTGCCATTAATCCACAGCATGGCAGCCATTTTGGGCTCATGAACCAAAGGGACATCCTCCACCAGGAGGAAATCACTGTCGAGACTGGCTCAAAGTGGTTGTGGTTCTGCACCCAAGCTCACCTGTTCCACACTGTTTGCGCAATCTCACACTCCCACACGACATCTGGGACCATTTCTATTTGTTCACATTGCTGGCACCTCGAGCGTAGGCGGGCGACGTGCCCTTAGGACATTGGGAATGTATGACCTCGTCGTTTTCCTTTGGTCACGGAATCCTTCTTGCCTTGCTATGCAGAGATAATGACGAGTGACGGCAAGAAAGCTGGCCTCTCAATGGCAGTGGTGATCGCTTACTGATTCCAATGTCCTCATCACAGTCGACGACAGGTACACTTCGTTTTCCACCTGCGCTCCGAGTCCCAGGATCAAGCTGACGAGAGGCTGAAAAAGTATGTGTGACGTCACCCTTTAAGAATTCAGCAGTCTGGAGTGGTGACGGGTCATGCTGGCATGGGTTTGTAAATCACAAAGGAACAAGATTGACAACTTCCAGCTCGGGTCCAGTCTTTGTATCCACACCTGCCATACAGGAGTTTGTACACATCCTCTGGTGTACTTGCCTTCGTTAGTGTAGCAGGATAAAATAGCCATTAACAAGTAATTACTCCACTTTTAATTAGCTTAAGGGAAGATAGTTAAGGTGTGTTATATGTGGTATTAAAGCAATTCATAGAGGTTTGATTCTTATTGATTAGACATTTGAGTAAAGTATATTTCTACCTTTAAATTTGAAATTATACATATTGAGTTATTCCTTAATAATCAATGACAACATTGACATCTTTGAGTGGGGGTGAGTGTAGTATATATGATTATGGAATGAAATTTAGATATATGGTCATTGTGAATCTTTAGAACCTTAAAGGATAAATGGGGATAAAAGAGCAACAATGGTGGCTAACTCTGTGTAATGTGAGGCACAAATCCCTAAGCCCCAAAGTGGAGCCAAAAGGGTGCCACGTGGTAATGGCCAAAGCAAAAGCCAAACGAACGTAACACGTTTGGACTAAAAGGCTTTGACTTGAAAGGTCAAGAGCGGGAGTGGAACTCCCGACGGAGTGCTCAAGGAACGAGCATGAAGCGAGCAATAAGCAAAGCTCCAAAAAGGGACCGAAAAGGACCAACACATGACACGTGGAAGTGTCCGAGATGGAGTCCGAGATGGACCCGAGTTAGGGTTTGAGATGGAGTCCAAGATGGACCCGAGATGGAGTCTGAGATGGAGTCCGAGATGGACATGAGATGGAATCCGAGATGGAATCTGAGATGGAGTCCGAGAAGGACCCGAGATGGAGTCCGAGGTCAAGACCGAGACCGGGACTGAGACCAAGACTGGGACCGAGACTGAGACCGGGACCGGGACCGAGACCGAGACCGAGGCAGAGGCCAAGACCGAGCCCGAGCCCGAGTCCGAGACCGAGCCCGAGTCCGAGTCTGAGTCCGAGTTCGAGTTCGGGTCTGAGAGGGTGAAAGCCCAAAGTGTTCATCTCCCAGACCCTGGGGGGTTTGGTGAGCTCCAAAAGTATAGTAGGGGGAGGACTACAGTGAAGCTCTATTTCGTTAAAGTGGGAATTGTCATTATCCCACTTGTAAAATAAGGTTTCCAAACCTTTATATAGTATATAAATATAACAAAATTCAACTGCATTGAGGCACATGCCATTTTATTTAAAACAAGGAAATGTCTACTCAATCACTTCTCCTCCCCCTGCCACTGCTTCACCTCTTTCTTCTCCTTGTCATCGTCGTCCAATTTCTTTCCATCCTTTTAATATTGGCTCAGTTGCTCCGAGTCTAGGTGGAGCCCAAGTCCCCATTCAATCTTTACTTTCCCCTTATTAATAAAAGAACTTCATAGACTTCCAATAACATGCTGTAACACTTCTAGTATAATGCAAATCCTCTCAAAAAATTGTCTTTTAATATTAATACAATGGCATGGAACCCCATGCCATAATAAGTTACATTTTTAAATAAATACATGCCATCTCAGACTGTTATTTTTTGCCTCCAACGCCTATACAATAATCTTGGAATTTCATCACTCTCCACACTATCAGGATTTAAACCCAATAGTAATGCCATCTCTTCTCTAATACGTCCACGCTCATGTTCAGTGGTCGAAGAACCCATCTGGTTGAGCAGATTATGGAGATGCGCATGCCATAAATGATGACTGGTGTCTGTCCGATCAAATGGCTTCTGATATACCGTTCCATCTGCCATTTGGTTGATTTCTGCAGCCACCTCCTGGACTGGCCAGTTCTCTATCACCATCACTCCAAGCCGTTTTGCAAGGTCCCCCAGAACATACGATTTCTTCTCCCTAGTTTCCATACTGCAAGAGATGGGGTGCACTGCATATGTGTGCGTGTTCGCTGCAGTTTTAATCGGCGAGTCATCGATGATGAGGATTTCACTTGACCTAGCAGTCTGGTTCATCACTACAGCCTCTGGCTTGACGAAAATGGGCTTGCTACCCCTCACATGGACCATAGTTAAGCAATCCTCCTGCGTTAGGAGAAAGTCAAATGGTAATATTACTCGCGTCTGATCGTGCATCATCTGTAGCAATGTTAATGCATTGTGGTGCATCATGGATGTCCAAACTCCCAATTGCAAATTGAACCCGGCCCTCTGTTTTAAGTGTCGCATGGTCATTATTAGATCCCGCAGTTTCTCCCTTGTGATTAATGTGAATCTGTCTCTTTTGACTAACTTGCGACTGCAGGCTTTGGAGGGTGCAGTGACATTCGAGGACGAGCCACGCTCATGGGAGAAAAGGACACCGTTCAGATCAAAAACGATACAGTACCTTCGCCGTGACTCTGAAATGAAATGCGTCGGCATAAAAAATGGTACAAGTCAATTTTACCATCTACAATATTAGCGAATGGTGCTCCTGATGGTCGTTGAGAGGGTTTTGGTCGAGGAAACGTGAAGGGCGGAAATACTCTCCTCTGCAATGTGGGGTCAATCGCATCCGATGGCGTGTGGGCATATGCCATTTCAGCTGTAGACTCTGGTACAACTGGCTCAACAGTGGCATGGGGTGGTTCCGATGGCGTGTGATCACACGCCATTTCAGCTGGTGCCTCCGTTGGCAAAGTGGACATGACCAAACAGGCAGCAGGGGCGGTGTAGGGAGGTTCCAATGGCGCGTAGTCAGACGATTGGGCACATGTTGAGTCCTTTGGAAATGAGGATATGACCGGCTCGGCGGCTGAGGCGGCCTCATGCGGGTCCAATGGCGCCTGGTCACCGTCAGTTGGATACGTGGACAAGATTGACTCAGTGGTATAGGCAGCATCAAGTGGAGCGTGGTCAGCTTGCTTGGCGTTGATATGGATAGTAGCCTCCACCAGCTCTGATGACTCTTGCAGGCAAGTAGAGTCCACTGGCGGATCCATATTCATGTCCAAATATCTCCCTTCGATTGAGATGGTATCCTCCCTACTAGCTACTAAAAACAAACTCATTAGCACATTGAATCGACTATACTGTATTTACCATCAACTGCTATTGAGGAACTAGGACCGATATCACTTGGGCGCACTGCTGATTCTGAAGGATTGGACATACGTTTCGACCCTTGCTTGACACTATCCTTCCTCGACACTAAAGGCTAGAGTTTGTATCTTAATTCAACTAAATAATCTCTACTTACGATTTGCTCTGCGACCTATATGGACAATGTTAGAAATGGTAAAAGGTTAGGAATGGATGTACTATTATTTACCTGATGGTTTGTCTTGTATGACCTTCCTCCGCTGCTCTTTGGCCACCTCAGGCTGGCCATCATCGTCATCACTGTCGTCGTCGTTATTGTGATCGTCACCATTGTGAGGACCATCCAAGTCCTCTTCGTCCTCCTCTTCTTCGTCCTCCTCTTCTTTGTCCTCCTCTTCGTCCTTCTGCTCTTCCTGCTCATTATCTTTCTCTGGCTCCTCATCCCCCTTCTGCATTTCTTCCATAGGCTGCTTAGGCCGGATGGCTTGTTCTTCCAGGACCATCTTGGGAAAATCATCTGGCCGAGTCTCCATCTCAAAATACAAGACATCCATAGCCTGTTTTAGTGCGTGACCTAGGACCGTATCCTCACCCGACTGTCTTAACATGGTTTCTGCACGTTCTTGCACCCTTTGAAGACAATGAGATGAGAAAAATGTGGCCCTGACTTGAAAAGCATCCCTCATCCATTGTACCTCTCCATTGAGATT